AGTGTAAAAATATCACATAATGGTATTTATATGTTATTTCATTTTTTTAATATGTAATATGAGACAAAAATACTAATTAGTAAATGTCCTATCTCTAGAAGTAATCAGCTTGGGGGGTACCAGCAGGTGGTGTGGTGGTTAAGGCACTGGAATTCCCACATGGCCGACTACGGTACCTGGTGGCTTGCTTTCTTTCTCTCTCTCTCTATCTTTCTCTGGCAAAACTCATGTGGAAAAAAAAAATAAATAGATAATTATTTTTTTAAAAAGTAGTCAGCTTGGACCTAAAGAAAGCAGATGATAGTTTGCCACCATGACAGTGGTCACGTCTAAACATGAAATATTTAGAAACATGAAAACTATGTATGCGATATTCATTTAAATTTTCATGGACATGTATAGGTATAGTATGTTTGCTATAGGAAAAACAGAAGTTGAGCCTAATTGGTGAATTTAGAATCCAGAGCATCAGAGATAGAAGGACATGGAATGTCATCTTGCCACATCTTGATAAATACAGATCTAGTCTCTGTAAGTTTAACAAATCCATGCAGTTTTCTTGTCTTTTTTTTTTCTTTTTCCTTAAAAGAGAGAGAAAGGTATTTTTGACAGGGTCTCACTGTGTTGTGATCCTCCTGCCCAGCTCCCAATTAGCTAGGATTAAACGTGCATGCATCAATGCCTGGCATGTTTGTGTTGCCCCAAGAACCGAACCTGAGCCTCTCGTGTGGCTTCCAGCCTCCCAAGCAGTGGTGTTACCTGTGGGCCACCATGGCTGGTCCCCCACCTTGTAGTAAATAGTGCAAAATAGCAGCATTGACTGCATGGGGTTGTTCTCAGGTTAAACGAGATCATCCTGGTAATGCACAGTGAGTACGCAATAATTATTAGCTGTCATTAGGATCACGCTACTTGGTGAGAGAGGCTAGTCCTTACTACCCTGTCTCCGTCAATTACCCTGCACACCCCCACCCATCTATCTCCCATTACACACAGCCAGGTCAGGACCTGGGCATGAAAGTGGGCTTTCCAGATGAATTAGGAGATGAAGCATTGCACTAAACAGCTCTAAGGCTCCCTCCTCAAGCAGGGTTAGGGATCGCTCTCGAAGCTCAGAGCCAGAGTGACTGGAGCAGGACCAGGAAGGCAGAGGAGGGGCCTGACTGGCTCAACACTCCTCGTGTCTCTTCCAAAGATGGGGAGTCTGCAGACCTCATAGCCTTCCTCTTCAGGTTCGGGCCACAGGCCATTTGCCCTTCTCTCACCAGATGGCAAGAGGAGAGGGCCTTCATTGTGAGGGCAAGGAGACCTGTCTTTCCTAGAGGACATTTTTCGGGAGGCCCCTCTGTGTATCCAGGCGCACCAAGGAAAGAGACAGCTGCTCACCCTCGAGGTCCAGAGCCCGTGTCACCCTCCCCACCCCCATGACAGCAAATCTGATCAGAACAAGCAGCAGACCAGGGACTAACAGCCTGCGTGAAAAGCTAGGCTGAGCTAACTGGCCCTTCCTGTTGGAAATCTGGACCAGGGAGTAGGAGACTGAGCAAGTTAGCAATACGGGTAGAAGCCGGGTGGAGCAGCCATGATGGGCCAGGAGCTACTGAAGTGAGGAGCCAACAAGTGCGTGTACAACATTTGGAAAGCACCAGAGAAAAGCATCCCTAAGCTGCATCCTCATTCCTGGCAGCCTCTACCAGGGCCCAGACTTTCAGTGATTCTTCTTTTTCTGGAAGAAGCTTAAGTGAGTCTATTTCATCCTACCAAAGAACCTGAAGTTTACGGGAAGATTGTTAAAGCTGTTATAAAAAGATTTTAGAAAAAAAAAACAATGCAAAAGTGAGACCTCGAGCTGCATGTAAAAGGCAATCAGTGGATCCCTGTCCCCAGCCACCGATAGTGCAAGTCTTTACACACACACATGTACACACACGTACACACACATGCTCACATACCCTGTCCTAAGTCCGGCTGTCAACATCTCGATAGCTAGAGGCCCACAAAATGTGGGGTCCTTCATGGTTGGGCTTACTCTCCCTCGTGGTGGAATTTGACCTGGCTTTAGACTAAATCCAGGCATAGGGTGTTCTCAAGGTGCCCAGTGGTTCTCCTGTGCCTCCCACCACCACCTTCTGGAAGCGCTGCCCCCTGCCTCAGGCTGATGCACCCACCTGCACCTGCGAGCCTAGCCAGATCCCCAGGGCTCTCCTGTAGCTTCCAGCCAATTACACCAGGCCTTTACCTGCATCATTCACCCACCTCTCCCAGGTTCTAAGCCTAGGGTGCTTTCCAAGATGAAGCTCAACTTGCGTTAGTCCTGTTTACCTCCACCAACAGCAGGAAGAAAGCTAGATTAGCAGGTTGATTAACAGAAGGGCACAGTGGTAACCCACATGGGAAAAGTCCTGTGTTCATATCCTGTGACCCCCTAGCATGCTGAGTACATCCCACACCGCCTGGACTCAGGCCAGCCAGCACTGGGGGTGGTTGGCTGATACTGGCCCTAACACACAGGGACCCTGTTGAGGGACCTCTTTCTCTGCCTCATTTTTTTTTTTTCCACAGAAGAAATAAGCACACTTAAAAAAAAAAAAAAAGTGTCCCTCTGATTTCACAAAAGCAGAGGGGACAGGAAGTTGGCCATCACCCACGTGGGCTGTTAACATTGTGACCGGTGGTGCGCAGGAAGACAGCCAGGGAGGGATGCAAGGAAACAGCTCTGTTTCTCTTTCCACTCTTCCTCCCAAAAGAATAAGCTGTGAGTGAGAGGGCAGACCACAGCCCCTCCGGGCCATTGGAGCAGCAAGTCTAGTCTACCTGGGCCGGGGGCTGCTGCAGCAGGGCAGTTTTGTGTGAAATGTGGGATTCAGATGGTAACGCAGACATGAGACTGAGTCTGTAACCAAAATGAGCCTGTTTTAGAACTGATTCTGACGGACAACTGGTAGACTCGGTCTGTGCGTCATTGAAGAAGGTGGCTTGTAAGCAGGGAAGCTAGCGGTGTGAAGAGTTTAGTGAGTAGCCAGAAAACTGAAGTAATTTCATTTACTCATCAAGGAACTGATGGGTACCCAGTCAAATGAGTCACACTGTAGCCCTTGCTGGAAGTCAAAATGCTGCCAGCAGGTGGCGGGGAGGTGAAGGCAGCTGGATCCTATATGGCTAACTTCACGGTTCTGGTGCCTGAAACTCACACCAGGTACATGTGCGTGCATGCCTAAGATCCCAAGAAGAGAATGGAGGAGAAGGGATTGCAATGTGGCCATTCCCCCTTGGGGATGATTTCTCACTTTCTCTCTCTAATGAGCTCACACACCTTACAGACAACTAACAAAGTCTAAAGGACATCAAGGCATGACAGCCACGGGAAAGTAAGGGTCATGGAAGTGAAGAGGGGTGCGGTGCAGCCCAGGCAGGACAGCCAGGATGGGAGCTGGTCTCTGTGGCTCACAGTATGTGGCCTGTTTCACGTCAACATTAGTGAGGGGGCTGGATGGTGACACAGCAGTGAAGCACAGTGCTCTGTGAGACCAACCCACATGGAAAGTTCTTGTTCACATCCAGGACCTCCCTGAGTACACTGGGCATGCAGAGCCCGTGATCCTGGGCTGGCTGAGGCTAGAGGTGGGTCAGGGCACCCTGTTGTGGGTGACTTTTTCTCTCTCCTCCCCCAGTTTTTTATTTTGTCAGAGGGGGATGTGTGCTCACCAGGAAGAGACAGAGAGACAGAGTGAGAAGGAGGGAGAAGTTACCTCCAAAGGGGAGTGGTCATGTTGTAATCCCTTCTCCTCCATTTCTCCATCCCGCTAGGACTTGGGGCATATCCAGTGTGTTTTTCAAGCCACAGGACCAGGATGTGAACTGCACAGTCAGCCATGTTGGATCTGGCTCCCTTAACCACTAGGTCATGTGCCAGTCTTCCTTTATTTATGTATCTCTTATTCATTAAATAGTTCATCTTCATATTATTATTTATTTATATGTTATTTATTTATTTATTTATTTATTTTAAAAACAGTAAAATAGGGACCAGCAGATGGCATAATGGTTATGTCACTTGACTCCCATATAGTCAATCGTGGTTCGGGTCCTGGACGCAGAAGCTTAAAACTCATGCTGGGCACTTGTGTGTGCATGCATGCCCAAAATTCCAAGAGGAGACTGGAGGAGAAGGGTGTGGCCATCCGCCCTGGAAGTGATTGCTTGCTTTCTGTCTGTGTGTGTTTCCAGAGAGCGCATGCACCCAACAGCAAAAATCTCTTTTAAAAAAATAGTAAAATGATATTATATGTTGTGGAAGTAAGAGAAACCGTTATATCTTTAAAAATTTTAAAAAGTCTTTTACGTCAGAAAAGGCTTAAGAATTAAGTTGAATCAAATTGAAAATAACGATATGACCCGTGACGTTTTCTTTCTAAGGCAGGGTCTCAGCACATTGCAATCCTTCCGCCTCAGCCCCCTGAGTCTCTGGGATCTCAGGCACACGTCACTATATCGGCCCTTGCGTCGCACCGGGAATCAAATCCAAGCCTCCCTCTTCTGTGGCCCCGGCCTCTAGAGCACAGCCTCAGGAGCGTGCACCAACCACTGCAGCTGGGCCCAGCCTCCTGACATGTAGAAATCATCTTTTCTGGTTGGGACCAGCAGGTAGCATGGTGGTTGAGGGTGCTGGACTCCCACATGGCTGATCACGGTTCAAGTACCGGACCTGGTGACTTGTTTTCTCACTTTCTCTCTCTGCCAGATTTAAATAAATAAATAAGTAAAGTCAAATAAAAGAATTCTTTAGGAGAAAAAAGAAAATGTCTCTTCTGGGTCTGTCTCTAATGTGGCCTACTATGCTGTCACCCACTCCCAATATCAAGTAGAGTGACCTAACATGTGCCCAGAGCACACAGATTTTGGGTTCAAATGCAGTTCTCTAGTAAAAGGAGCCAGGGAACTATAGAAAGGATCTGATTTTATTTCATTTATACTTTTTTCCTTTTTATTTTTTCCCCCCGAAGGGGTGCACCATCCCTGGAGGTACTGCAATACCAGGTCAATGCATGAAGGGGACGGAGCAAGATCCCATTCCATCTCCTATTTCCAAAAATCCATTTAACATATTGTCTTCGGATAGAGGACGTATCAGATATTAAACTAATAAAAACAAATACTACACTCAATCTTAGCCAAAAGGCCAAGAAGCAATCTATTTATTTATTTTTTAAAAGAATTATTTAATTTTATTTAGTCATTCATTTATTTTAATTTGACCAGAGACAGACACACGGGGCAGGGAGGGGAGTGAGAAAGCAAGCCACTAGGTCCGGGACTCGAACCATGGTCGACCATGTGGGAGTGTTCAGTGCCTTAACCACCATACCACCTGCTGGTCCCCTATTTATTTATTTTTGAGAGATGGTTTGCTAAAGGGAGTGTGTGCTCGCTGGAGAGACAGAGAGAAAGTGAGAAATCACCCCCTAGGATAGATGACCATGCTGCAATCTTTTCTCCTTCATTCTCCTCAGAATTTGGGGCATGCACACACACATACCTGGCATGAGTTTCAAGCCATGGGTCCAGGACTCAAACCGTGGTCAGCCATATGGGAGTTCAGCACCATAACCACTACACCACCTGCTGGCCCAGTACCTGGCAAGCCATGGGTCCAGGACTCAAACCGTGGTCGGCCATATGGGAGTTCAGCACCATAACTACTATACCACCTGCTGGCCCAGAATCTGATTTTATATTTTGGCGCAAGAATCATCAAGACGGGCCTGGTGGGCTGGCCCCATGGCACAGTGGTTAAGGGAGCCAGGTCTTACATGGCCGGCCATGCAGTCTGAGTCCCAGCTTTAGTGGTCTGAGAAACACACTGAGCATGTATGCGTTTCGGTCCCGAATCCCAACAGGGTGGAGAAATGGAGGAAAAGGGATTACAGTGTGACCGTGGCCCATTCTGGGCTTCTTTCTCCCCTCTCTCTGTCTGTGACGAATATGTGCACCCTCTGGCAAATAGACGGGAAGAAAAAGATGGGCATGGAGCATCAGTTTGTTGCCAGAAAGAATAGGCTCCCCAAATATCCAGGGCAGCTGTAAAAGATAAAGGAAACAGTTTAAAGAGGCGCCCACCCAGCAAACGTTGAAAGTGCGGGCATTAGAAAGACAGCAATCGTTCTCTGCAGAACCACAGGCGTCATGCCAAAAAAGAAAAGAAAAAAGGCACGTACAAGCTGTTACCCATGCTTACCAGTGCATTGGCCACGCTGAACTACGCGCATAGTATATTCAGGGGCTGGTCACTGCCAGAACCGAGTGGACACCACCACCCCCAATATACTTCTTTAGCATATTTCTGATGATGATTCAGACGTCACCAAAGTAAGCAGCCCATTCTCCTGCCTTTCCAGGCACAGGAAGGAGGCTATTAGCGGTCTGACACCCACCCGGCACACAGGATCGTCTTGGCAGCTCTGCATCTTCTTCCCCACCCTTTCATAGTTTATCTCTAAGCCTCTCCTGTACTTTTTACACTTAAAACCTCTTAGTTACGGCCCTCTCTGAGTTCACATTTTCTATGACTCCCATATACACGTGGATACATTGAAATCAGTCTGTTTGCCTTTCTCTTATTAATCTGCCTATTGTCCGTGACTTTCCGTGAACCTCAGAGGGAAAGGAGGAGTTCCTTTGCCCCTACATCAACATCACAATTTCATCCTTGCAAATCAAGTTGAAAGATTCATTGTAATCTCAGGGGTGGGAGCGCGTGCAGAATCTCATCAGCACACCAGCAATGAAAATTTGTGGAACATGTTACAATAGAAAAAAGAAAGAGACAAAGAGCCTTGAGAGGCCTAATGCTCCCCACAGACTCAGCCTAATAAACACCAACTCATGATAAATCATCTTGGAAGCATTTCTGTGCCCCTGTCTGAGGTATGACTATTTCTCCAGCAACTCAGCTCCCAGTACCTCCCTGTAAAGTGGCCCAGGAGGATGATTCTGTGCCTTTGAGTCAAAAGACTTGTGTTTGAAACTCCAGAGTAAATTAAAGAATCTATCATATTATCAATTAATACTCTGGTGCCAGTTACATTGCCTGTCACAACAAGTTTTGTAATCATCCCATTGTTACATTTGTACTACAGATTATTGGGGTGACCAGAGAGAGAGGAAGGGAGAAAAAGAGAGAGGGAAATTGAAAAAGCAAGCCCCCAAAGGCTGAAGCCGCCAGAGGCCATGTGGGAGCCCAGCGCCTTAACCACCACTCCACCTGCTGACTCCTGTACTTCAGTTTTAAGGTGTTTGAAACAGTTAAAAGAGTCTGTTATATTTCTATGTCTTTTTTTTTTTTTTGAGATAGGTTTTTGCTATAGGGCACATGCGCTCACCAGAAAGACAGAGAGAGACAGAGAGATAGAAAGTGAGAAATCACCCCACAGGGGGGATGGCCACGCCACAATCCCTTCTCCTCCATTCTCCTCTTGGGATCTTGGGCACACATGCACACATGCCCAGTGTGAGTTTAAGTCACCAGGTCTGGGACTTGAACCAAGGTTGACTACATGAGAGTATAGCAACAAATCCATTACACCAACTGCTGATCCCTCAATTTTTCTTTTTTTTAATTTACAAGAATTGTTTGAAGGTTTAGGAAGATTTTACTAATTAGATTTGGAAAACTACTTTTTTGGGGGGAACATGATGGTTAATTTTATGTGTTTATTGGTTGAAGGTTTAGGAAGATTTTACTAATTACATTTGGAAAACTACTTTTTGGGGGGGGAACATGATGGTTAATTTTATGTGTTTCCTTGATGGGGCTATGGGCTGCCCAGATATGTGGTTGAACATTATTCTAGATATGTGTCTGTGAGGCTGTTTCTAGGTGAGATTAACACTGGAATCTGAACACTGAGTAAAGCAGACTGGCTTCCTCAAACCTCATCCAGTCCATTAGAGGCTTGAATAGAACAAAAACTGGAGTAAGAAAGAATTCTCTCTCTCTGCCTGTCTTAGATGGAGGTGTCCATCTTCAGACTCAGACTCAGATTGGAGCTGAGACAAAAATTGGCAAATAAAGAAAGGAATTCATTTCAGTAAGGCCAACACTGGAGGACCAGAGTCCAAAACTGCCTCCACCATATTGGATGAGATATAAAACTTACATAGTAGAAGGAGTCGCTGTGAAATACATTAGAAACAGAGTAAGTCAATCATCGTCTTGAGCCAGAATCACAAGGAGGCCTGATCATCAACCTGGGGCAGGATCGCAAGGGCACCTAGCATCAGGGGGCAATCACTGCTTGAGGGGTGGTTTCCATCCAGTCATGCAGGGTAGAAGGACCAGCTGCCCTCTCTACAAGGGGCTGAAAGATAAGCAGTGATTAACAAGGTAGCAGAAGTGAATGGAGTCAGTCCAGACAACTTCTCAGTGTTGATTTAGAAGCCATGAAGGTCTAGGTGCGGCTTTGCAATGCTTAAGCTATAAAATCTCAGCCGGTCATGCGGGAAGGGGCTGGTGGAGTCTTCCCCCTCCCTGTCTCCACAGCCAGGCATCTGTAGACTTCACAAAGTTATGTTAACTTCCATTAGTTAAGCATTAGGCATCACCGATTGTGAGGGAGGTAAAAGGTTAAGTTCTGTAAGATTCATCGTGACTTAAAAGATAGAAGTTAAAGACTGATTTCCCAACATTTAGTACAGTGTGGTCACCTTGGTTTTCTCACGGCTCAGCTGTATTGCTAGCGTGGAGTCTGTGGCCCATCACTTTATTATTACTTCACTTCTTTGCAAAAGCCCTCGCCAGCCTGCCCCTCTCTCTCTACTTTGTAATTGACTTGCAAACTCCGGCTCTGATTAAACCTAATTATCTATTTATCCATATCTGTACCTGAGCACCAGACAATCCCACAACCTTACTAACAGGTCTCATATTGCATTTTTGACCCAGTTCTCAAATGGGCACTCAACATGCACAAGATCCATTACATTTTCCTGGTGGATTCTTTCCCCCTCTCTTTTTCTTCTTTTTTTTTAAGAGGTTCTTGTTTTGTTTTGTTTTGTTTTGCTATAGGGCGCGTGTGCTTGCCAGAAAGACAGAGAAAGACAGAGATACAGAAAGCAAGAAATCACCCCCCCCCAGGGGGGATGGCCACGCTGCAATCCCTTCTCCATTTTCCTCTCGGGATCTTGGGCATGCATGCACACATGCCCAGAGTGAGTTTTAACCACCAGATCCGGGACTCGAACTGCCTTCAACTACGTGGGAGTCCAGCAACATAGCCATTAAGCTAACTGCTGGTCCCTCTCCCTCTTTAAATGGAAATTTCACCTCTTTTCTGCTTTCCTCAAACCACCACCACTGCTCCCCACTGTACTCTCAGCTCATGACCTCCCCTCATATACTACTGAGAAAAAGAGAAACCATTGGATAAGAGCAACTGCATTCTCCTTGCATGAATTTGCCAGTCTGAGCCCATGGCCATGGCTTCCCTGTGGTTATGGAGATGAATTGCTCCCAATGCACCTCCCCTTCCTCTCCTGCCTTGGATACCATCTCTTCTCACTGCCGAGGAATTCCTTCCTCAGCAGTCCCCTTTCTGACATCATCCATTTCTCTCTCTCAGTGAGATCAGTATGTCAACATACCTTACAAAATAAACCCTTCTTGAACCCCATATGCATTCTGAGGACCCCCTCTCCGCTCCCCTTCACAGCTAGAAGAGCAGTCTAAGGCCAGGCAGTGGCACAGCCAGACCCGCATGGGAAAGGTCCTGGGTTCATGTCCCAGCACCTCCCCACACATGCCCGCCCAGCCATGTGCACCCGGGACCCTGGCTGGCCGAGACTGAGGATGGATCATGGTGTGGAAACCTTGTTGGGCGTGCCTGTATCTCTGTCTCTTGCTCTCTGTCTGTTTCTCTCATGGAAGAAATACAGAAATAACATTTTAAAAATAGTATGAAAGAGTGATCAGTGTTGCTCACCTCCAGTTCCCTGTTTAACCAAACATTCCTGCGTCCCTCTCTACCCAGCAGCTCTTCTCTAGGTCACCAATGACCTGCCATCACAATTAGAACACAATGCAAGACCCTTTCTCAGGCTTCCAAGACTCTGGTGATGTGACCCCCGCCCACCTCCCCCCACTCCCAAACAAGACATTAGGAAGGAAACATGAGAGCGCATTACTGCCCTGAGGCTTTGGAACTACCGCGTCCTCTGCCAGGACATTTTTCACATAGATGTCCATCTCATCCTTCCCATCATTCAAGTCTCTGCTCAGAGCAACCCCTCTCCAGAAAGGTCTTCCCTACCACCTTAGCTCAAGAACCCCTTACCTCATTTTTTTAAAACCCTATTAGCTAGCTTTGGATCCTCCATAGCCTTATCCCTGTTGTAGATTTTCTTATTTTCTTATGTCTGCAGGTGCTAAATAAATACAAAATTAAATAAATGTGCTGACTGAATAAACGAACCCCTACTGAAAGTTTCACCCAACTCACAATTAGTAGAAAGAGGAAGTTAAGAGGAGACAGTTCCTGGCTGGCAAGGCTGGGGCCTATCTTTTACACTAAAACGACTGGCTGGCCAACAGCTCAGGAGCACCATTTGTGGGTGCCCCACCCCCAACACAAGAAATAAATTAAGAAGTACAAAAGAGAGAGAGAAAGAAAGAAAAAAAAAAACACATTTTAGGGCCAGCTGTAGGGCAAACACTGCTAAGACAATGTGATCTGTAAGCTGGGACCACATGCAGACCCAGGTTCAATTCCCAGTCCAGCCTAAATGTAGATTGCAGTGGCATGTTCCCATAGTCCCAGAAACTTGAGAGAGGTGGATTGTGAGCTCAAGGTTGGCCTGGGCAACATAGTGGGATCGGCCTGAAAAACAGCTGGGTGTGGTAGTGAATCCCTACAGTTCCAGCTGGGAGGCGGAGGTAGGAGGATAGTGACAGCAAGGCTCTGTCTTAAAATATAAACCAAAGGGCCAGCCCTGAAGCTTAGTAATTAAGAGGAGCTGGATCTCATATGGCCACCCCCTCTGGGGGATGATTTCTTGCTTTCTGTCTCTCTGTCTCTCTTTGGCGAGCGCACATGCTCTATAGCAAAAATCTCTTTAAAAAAATAAAGTTCAAAGGCACAAACACCTCCCTACCCCCACCCCACCCCCTCAGTCCCACTGAACACTGCTGCTCTGCAGGCTGAGGCCACATGGGACCCCTGTTCTACTCTGGCCTACCCTAAAAGCTGGTAGTCCCGCACCTGTAGTCCCAGTTAAGTTACACGGGAGACTGAAGCAAAAGGACCCCAGACCCTTCTGAAAGAAAACATCACACAAAGGCGCGTGCACACACACACACGAAATAATTTTTTGAAAAACATTTTAATAGAGTACAGATCCCCTCCATCACTCCTACTCCCCACCCACTGCCGCCGGAATGAGCACTTCTGGAGAGGAAAAAATATGGGACTGACAATCTGAAAACCATGGCTGCCGATAGGGTCTCTGCCTAGGCCGCTCCGTGACCTGAGCCTGGTCACCTTCCTTCGAGAGTTAAACGGGATGACAGTGACGCCTTTCAAGTGCATTAAGGAAGAGCTAGCCAGCGTTGCTCTGGCCGGCAACCGAGTTCAGTTTTGCGCAAGTCGCCCGGCGCCCCTGGAGTCGCTCGCGAGCCCCCCTACCCAAACCCCTCCCCTGAACCCAGACCGACAGCTGTACGCCAGGCCCCGCCCCCAATGTCTCCGCCCGGCTCCCGGCGAAGATAGATACATAGACAGACAGGTAATCCCCCGCGGTCCC